CCCCACACCTCCACCCCACTCCGCTATCTTCAGGCCCTGTGCGGTTTCTCCCTGTGATGCTGTACGGTCTAGACCTTACTATGTAAAGTGCCCTCAGATGATATTTGTTGTGATTTGGAGCTACACAAATAAAAGTGAAGTGAATTGAAATTGAATAGATCAAATCATATTACTCTGTGACTGGACATGATCAGGTTGGACTACACTTCAGAAGTTTTGTCCTTGCATGAAATAAAATTAATACCAACATCACACATGTAGCCGGACTATTCATATATCATAATATTTGATGTTCTTGTCACAGTTCAAATGATGTTGTGTTTATGTATTGTAATACCCCCGTTCTTTTATTGGACAGATCTGAATAAGGAAGGAGTCCGTCTTTCTTCATTTTAGTGCCGATTTATGTAAACCACAAGCAATTACAAAACACAACCCAGGTGGCTCCTTCCTCCAGACATCAACAGGCAGGCTGCTGGAAAAAAGGAGCCCCGGAAGCACAGACCCTAATACATTTATAAGTTTTGGGCTAACCCCTTACACCAGGGGTGGCCAATTCCAGTCCTTGAGGGCCACTGTCCTGCTTGTTTTCCAACTATCCCTGCCTGACCTGCTGCTGATTACCTGGCTCAGGTGTGTTCAGCCAGTCAGACTGCCTTACACAAAAAGATTACAAACATCACTAGATGGAGTCAGTCCGGTGTCTCCTCCTCTTATCTAGAGCTCCACATGCTTCGAGCACTAGTCATAACAAAATGAATTTCAATGTGTGTGTGTGTTTTATGTGGTGCATAACTAAAATATTCAGACATAATAAATTTTTTAATACAAGAAAACAATTGGTGTCATGGTAACTTTAGCTCACATTTCAGGATCAACACTGTCTTCAGACCTTGAAGCAAAGCAGACTAGAGCAGACTTTGAATCTTACTAAACTGCATTACTAATACATTTGATTCAACACATTAATGTCTAACAATTATCTGACTGATTTATTAATATCTAACGGTATATTTAATGAACAGGTGAAGCTGATCTGGTCAGGGGCTGTTTGAAGGCAGAAGTCACTGCAGGAGACAGGTGTGTCACCACCAGTCAGAGCTGCAATGAATGTACAGTACAATACAATTTCAATGTAATAGGATGTAATTAGTCTGCCTAATGTGAATAAAGTTTGCTGTGCTGGTTCTAATTTACTTTTATGTTGAATCAATGTTAACAATGTAAGCTTGTAATATTTTAAATATCTCTGACAAAAAGTCACCTTAGGTGTCAGGTGAAGGCTACAATAATCCATCCATCCATCCATTTTCTATACTGCTCAGTCCCAAATGGGGTCACGGGGGGCTGGAGCCAATCCCAGCCAGCTGCTACAATAATCCAACTTTACATTTTTGTTTTCTGCACTGAGCAAACTCTTAGAAATCAAGGTCCATGGCTTAGACTAGCACAAACTATACAAAGAAAAGCAGATTGTATTTTTGTTATTAATGATTTGTTGACAGACTAACTTGGTGTGACAGTTCCACTTTGATGAATCAAAGTGGGGCTGCATGACAAGCAAATTGCTGAGCTGCTTTTTGCCTAATAATCAAAAGACATTTATCCTTCCCCTCCACAGCTGCTGTTAACAAGTGGAAGTCAGCAAACGATGAACTTTCTTTGTGTTGCTGCTTTGCTGACTGCAGCCGTGGGAGCCCATAGCCTTGAATGAACTGCCACATTATATTGTACAGGGCTGTTTAGAAAGGCCAAATAGTCTACTCCTGACTAGTTTCCTGATTTTGTTTGTTTGTTTGTTTGTTGTTCTTCTTTTAATATAGTACAGAAATTCATGTTCCCCTCACAAAATTTCATAATTTCCTGACTACACCATCATCTGACTAAAATTCCAGTTTGTCTAAAACATTTAAAACTAAATAACCGTTTATATGATGATTATGTTCATTTTTTATTTTGTACCCTTGTACCTATTGTACCATAAAGTACCACTCTCGTTTTGCGAGGCCTTCTATAAACCGAGTTGCTTTTTATATTGTATTTTATGGTAATTAAATTGCTGTTGTAACAGGCAGAAGTTAGTTACAGTTTAACCAGGCGTGGCGTGGATTTTATAGGCTGCTGGGACTTATATGAGGCACAATATAACTATAACCACACAATATAACTAACTAGACAGAGAGAGAGAGAGAGAGCGCATGTATGTCAGCGTCATGGGACATTAGTCAGTTACTCCCTGAATTAAACCAGTGAGCTGCTACACCAAAGGTACGTGCGGTTTAAACGACTATTTATCGACGGACTTTCTCTATAGACCGTTTCACTTCCGGGCAAACGTTTGGACACACTTTCCCATTGACTTTAGTGCGAAAGACTTAATCTGGTAGTGAATACAGAGGATGTCGGTTTATAAACAGTATGTGTTGGTGTGTACGTACATTTACTGGAAAAGGAAACTCGTGACGTGCTATTTACAGTTAAGCTGAGTGAAATGATATTTTTTGGCTAACTATTGTAACGTGAGTGGTGCTGGAAAATAAGTAGCCTGCAAATATATAATTAATTCGTCTACGTCATGAGTTAAGTTTCGTTTCTCTCTCGCAGTCTTGTCGTCATGGCCGACGTGGAGGAGAGTCAGTTTTCTCTGCTGAGCCTGGAGGATGACCTGACCTGCAGCATCTGTCTCAGCACCTTTGTCTGTCCGGTGACCATCCCGTGCGGACACAACTTCTGCCAGGACTGCCTCCTCGTCAGCTGGAAGGACTCCTACAGCTGTCCTCAGTGTCGGACAATCTTTGCCACCAAACCGGAGCTGAAGAAGAACACGGTCCTCAGCACCGTGGTGGAGACCTTCAGGGAGAGGACGAACAAGAGCGAAGCCAGCCTGCTTGGAGAGGAGAAACAAGCCGAGAAAAAGGATGTCATTCGCTGTGACACATGTATGGAAACAGAGGCGTCCCAGACCTGCCTCACCTGCATGGCCTCCTTCTGTGACGAGCACCTGCGGCCTCACCGGGAAAACCCAATTTTCCGCCTCCACCAGCTGAGTGAGCCTGTCGGTGACCTGTCGGAGCGCATCTGCCCGGACCACCACAAACTGATGGAGCTGTTCTGCAGTCAACATGGCCGTCCAATCTGCAGCCTGTGTCTCCAGCAGGTCCACAAAGGCTGCACCTTCGTTTCTCCCGAGGAGCAGAGGAACCAGAAAGAGGTGAGCGTGTGCCAGTGTTCACGCATCTCACCAAGGACATAGGCTTGGTTGCAACATTGGTAGAATGACCCCCCCCCCGTGTATGTGCACAGTTTGTCACTAATAGGGTGTTTTCACATTATTCTGGTGAAGAAGGCAGGTGTCAGTCCACTACCTGTTCACTAAAGTTGACCGCTGACAGTAAATGTGCAAGAGTGTGCAGTTTTTGGATGTAAACCGGATCTTGGAGCTTTTTTCCACTATTTACCAGAAGATCCCCTCCTGTGGCAGAAATGGCTAGAATTTATTTGCTGTAACTGTGCTCTCACTCTCTCGGGTGTTGAAGTAATCCAAATCTGTAGCACACATTTCATTGAGGAGTCTTTCCTCAGCTTCATACAAAAGGCACTGGGTTTTACTAAGAAACTAATATTGAAGCCAGATGCCATACCAACTGTATATCCTGGGGCACTGTCAGACTCTTAGCCAAACTATAAATACTTTTGCACATTTGACTTATATCTTTGATGCAGTATTGCTCTGTAATAGGTGAATCAGGCTCAAACATAAACTGCTACATCGCTTCAGTTTTCACTCCTGCATCTCATCCTGATACTAGTGAGTTCACCGGTCTATATGGGGGTAGCAGTGGTGGGGGGTGGGTTCTCATTTGCATATATTTGAATATTCATAGATCCTGGAATGCACAATGAGGGCAGATGTTGAGGCCTATTACAGAGGTTTCCTTTTCCGTACAGGGCCACACTGCTGAGGCAGCGCAGAGCTCCCAGCCACTTCCTAATGTACATGCTAAACGTTCTCTCTAGCTTTTCTACCATAGAAATTGGTACATCATACACTGTCAGTGGCCAAACAATTGTGGCAAAAAACCAAACTGCAGGCACCACAGTTTGAGTTTGCCTGGGAGGCCTGAGGTCTCTATGCTCTTAATGCCATCAACTGCCTGCTGTCTCAAGCCCTTAATCTGCTCTTTATCACTAAGAGCTGCATCATACCTACCTAAACCTTTGACTGGCTTCCCTAAGACTGTTGGAATTGGCTCATCATTTATACAGAACCTTTTTATCTGAAAGCAGACCTTTCACAGTTGAAATGCTCCTTGATTTCTCTGGCTTCACCTCCATCCTACCCAGTTTAAGATAGCATTCAGCTTGTCCAATAGCCTTTTGGTACATGGCGCTGTGGTGGTGATAGTTGACATATCATCCATGTACGCTCTTATGGGTGGGTACTGTTGCCCTGATGGAAACCTTGCTCCTCCTGCAATCTATTTAGATGCCTTAATAATAACTTCCAGTGTCATGGTAAATAGTATCAGTGAGATTGTGCATCCTGCCATGATGCCTGTCTCCAGTTGCTGTCAATCTGTAGCATACTCTGCTGTTGTGAAACATATCTGGATATCCTGAAAATATTCTCTCACCAGCCGTTTAAGTCTGGTACTTTAAAATAAGCTCATCCTTCCCACAGTAGGCTATGTGGTACAGAACCAAAGGCATTAGCTAGATCTAAGAATGCCATCTACAAATCTCTTTTTTTCCCTCTTTGCTGACTGAATTTGATGCCAGATCATGCTTTGTGTGCTCCAAGTATGCAGAAAAGCCTGGTATTCCAATTTTCTGCACTGAGGTGTCAATGAGCTTAATCCTTTCTAGGTGGCTCGACAACCTTTGGGCCACTACACTGAATAAAATCTTGCCTTTTACATTCAGAAGGCAAATAGGCCTAAATTGCCCCGCTTCAACTAAAAATAAACTAAAAATCCCTCCTGGTCTTTTCCATGACTTAGGAATGAACTGCTTCTTCTGTGCTACTCTGATAAGTCTCCACAAAAACCTCAATGCGTCTGGAGCGTATTTCAAGTATATACATTGGGGCAAATAAGTATTTGATACACTGCTAATTTTTCAAGTTTTCCCACTTACAAAGAAGGGACACGTCTGTAATTTTCATCGTAGGTACACCTCAACTGTCAGAGACAGAATCTACAAAAAAATTCCACTAAATCACATTGTTAGATTTTTAAATAATTTATTTCCATTTTATTGCATGAAATAAGTATTTGATACAATAGAAAATAGACCTTAATATTTGGTACCGAAACTTTTGTTTACAGTTACAGAGGTCAGACGTTTCCTGTAGTTCTTGACCAGGTTTGCACACACTGCAGCAGGGATTTTGGCTCCTTATATATATTAAATATATGCTCCAAGGTTTGTTGTGCTATGCTAGATAAGTGGATGGTTCGATACGTAGATTCGAAGGAGAGACAAATCAAATTTTATTTGTATAGCGCCAAATCACAACAAAAGTCATCTCAGGACACTTTACAAAGTAAGGTCTAGACCTTACTGTTATCACTATTATTACATAGGGAAAACCCAACAAATCCCCCTTGAGCAGGCACTTGGTGACAGTGGGGAGGAAAAGGTCCCTTTAACAGAAGAAACCTCTGACAGACCCCGGCTCTTGGTGGGCGGCCTTCTGCCTCGACTGGTTGGGGTGAGTTGACAGAGGAGAGAGAAAAGAAGAAAAGCAACAAGACACAACAAATATCATACACTGGTCAGGTCGATGTGGCTGG